CCCCAAAACCCCAAAACCCCAAAACCCCAAAACCCCAAAACCCCAAAAATATTAAAACCTGCTTTAAAATTAAATTTAGTAATAATTCAAAATGTCTAAATTACCCAAGAGAGTCTCTGCAGAATCAGGCAAGAGGAGGGATAAGCTCATCCAGATCCATGGAGAAGCACTAGACTTCTTAGATGAGGATGAAGCCATCAAGACTTATAGTATATAGATAAGAAGAAGAAAGTCATACAGAAGAGTAATAATTATCATACGACTAAAAATATTGAGATTGAGAATGAAGAGAGAAGGAAACGTGCCATGATGTCGATTATTACTCAAGTTCAAAAGAACTCAGTGCCTCCTGTCAGAACTCAATATTCTTCATATTATGGGACTAATCGGAGCAGACAGTAAGTATTACCTAGGACAGGAGTAAATTTTAGGCTTGGAAATAAAGTTAGAGCTACATCGATCACCAAGAAGGTATTAGGAGAGAGACCTCAAGTGAAATATTCAAAATTCATGAAGAATAATTTCAACAAACCAGGACTCAAGACGCTTTTGATAGACCTGGATGAAACATTGGTGCACTCATCATTCACTCCTGTTCCAAACCCAGACTTCATTCTTCAAGTAAGAGAATTTACTAAAGACTAGGTAGAAATCGAGGGTAAAATGTGCAGTGTCTATGTACTAGTCAGACCAGGAGCCAAGGAATTTCTAGAAGAACTGGCCCCTTTCTACGAGATGGTAATCTACACAGCTAGTTTGAGTAAATATGCAGACCCCTTAATGGATATTCTGGACCCAAAAGGTATCTGAACAGCTCGATTGTTCAGAGAACACTGCACTTTTTACAATAACATTTTTGTGAAGGACTTGTCTAAAATAGATAGAGACCCAAAAGACCTTCTAATCATTGATAATTCTCCAAATTCATATTTATTCCAACCAGAAAGTGCTCTGCCGATTGTTAGTTGGTATGAAGATATGGATGATACAATTCTGTATGAATATATTCCAATCCTGCAAGGCCTATCCATCATCGATGATGTCAGAGATGCTCTAGCCGCATTCGTTTATCCAAATGAACCTGTAGAATACGATCGAATCGACGTCTCTAGAGGAATTGACCTTCTTGAAAGATACATAGCAAGAGCTAAGGAAGGGCTACTGCCTGAATATGAAGTTAAAAGTAAGACAAGGGTGTTCTCTGAACCGAGAAACTTCCAAAATCATCTTGAACAGGATGGAATGAATGACTCTGAGCCCTTAAAGCCATTCAATACTGATCATGAAAATTCCAATAGCCAACTGCACAATAGTGCTGAGATAAAGAAAGGTGGAGAACTTTCAAAAGAGATTATTAATAATTGGACAAGATCTGAAGACGAAAAACCTAAAGAAGAGGAAAAGAAGAAGATAAAGAGCTCTAGCAGACCTAAATCTGGAAAGCCCTCTCCAATGAAGATGGAGTCCAAGGTGGACAGGATCTACCTGACTAATGACTCTCATTTTAACAATAACCTGACTGTAAGTTCTAACAAGAATTTGAAAAAATTTAAAATATAGGCTAAAAATAATCAATCTTCAAACAGAACGACCATGTTTAGGTCTTACAATGTAAGTTAAAGGGAAAGTTTAGATCAGGATTTAAAGTAGTAATCGCCTCCTTCATTGGTTTAAGGACCATTCGAACTAGAGTGGGTTTGAACCAAATGAGTTTTAACAGAAATTTTGAACAAGCTAATTTATATTTAAAAATTGGTATGAGAAATCTATTTTGACTGTTATGAAAGTTTCGAAACTAACTCTGAACTTAGTTAAAATATTGAGAATTTCTCATTTCTCATCTCCAAAACCTCTAATATAACCCTAGAACAAACCACATAACAGTAAAATTAACGGAATACAGTCAGGAAATCACACCCAACCTCATCAAAGAAACATCAAGAAAGCAATGATGGGGCACACTAAGAACAACATTTCCTCTGATATGTACAGGATCTACGGTATAAACAAGCCTGAGACCACGCATAATTCTACACAAAATACTCCTAAATCAACATCGAGCAAGCGAGATACCTCAAATCTTAAGAACAAGTTCGGCATCAGGGTGAACAACCTGATGTTATCCAATCGTGTTCCCCAGACCAACGGTCCGGGGAACCGCTCGGTTTCCCCGAACAGAATTGCTTGGCACGATCCTGCCGATAAGGAAATGTTCAGTCAGCAGAAATAAGACTAACATAGTAGATGTCCTGAAGTACCAAGCCAGAACTAACCTTAAATAATCTTGGAAAAGATATGAAATCAATGATTTCAAGAAGGAAATAAACCGACACCTAAGAACAAGAGATTTAAGTACCACGCCAAGCCAGAGCTTGGTGTCTATCAACCTTCTCCATTTGCTAGGAACACCAATCAAATGGAAGGAGTTAAAGGAATGGGGTACGGGAAGGGTACCAATTCTTTCTCACGGCCAATAAACCGGCTTGCCAAGAACAGAACCTTCAGCAGGAAACAGTCCAAAAAGAGGTACAAGGACGGTGACCGTAGTGGGATTGAGAACTATCTGAAAGGAGTCCGTGGAGATGGCCCTATTAAGGCTACTAATAGTAAAAGAGGGAAGAGGAGAGTCAAGAGAATTCTCCAAAATTCAGGCATCCCAGATGCCTTTCTTGAGGAATAAGCTAGTGGATGAATGGAATTTGAAAATTCAGCAAATTTTTCAATACTTTATTATTCTAAGGGGTTTTGGGGTTTTGGGGTTTTGGGGTTTTGGGG